CTGTGTGGGCAGTGGGAGTGACCAACTGATCAGAGGAACAGGAAGAATTCACCCTTCATGCAAACAGCCAGCCCCCTTCTCCAAACACCCCTGGTCCCAGGGCTGTGCTTGGGTCCCAGCGAGCGCTGCCATTGCCTGGGGCAGTCGGAGCAGGGGCTGGCTGAGGCTGGCTGCGGCATGCACAGGGAATTGGTCAAACAGCAACAAAACAAAGCGGGACAGAACGGACTTTGCAATTGCAGCTCCTTCTCGAGCAGCCCTGAGGCCAGTGTGCCTGGCAGTGAGCAGGTACATCTCACCACTTCCCACCACTGGCCTGCCTCAGCGCCTGGGAGTAGCCACAACATCTCTCCACGGTGCTGGAGAGGGGATTTATCACTTTGTTGGGTGCCGGCGCAGATAAGGTGCGGCGCCATGCAAAAAACCAGCAGCAAGTGAGTGTGCAAAGGGGATGGTTCTCCAGCACCCAAAGGCGCCACCACGTCCCTTCCCTTGGGCCAGGAGGAGGTTCAAGTGCACCCCAAATCAACACCAGCATCCAACACAGCTTCCGAGTGCCCGCTGCCTCCCTGCCTGCACGTCGCTGTCCATAGATGGGATGCTGCCCATAAGGCAGAGTCACCATGACCCTGTCCCCCAAGCCCCCTTGGCTGTGCCCTCCAAGTCCCTGCCCTCCACAGCCACCAACAGAGGCAAATTTGACATTTGCAGAGAAATCTCCCCCTGTTCAGTGCTAATAATCAGTCAAGTAGAGGCGGATTTTTGCAGCATGATACAAGCAGCGGGGAGCAGGGAATGCAAGCGCGGGGGCTGCTTTCCAGGAAAATGGGGGCTTTTCCTCCCAAAAAGGAGCAGAGCTGGAGGGAAAAGCATGGCTGGGACATGATCCCTCACCCTGTCACCCTTTGGACAATGCAAGCGGTCAGGACAAGACCCCTGCAGCACAGGGCATCCCAGCCCCATGGATGCAATGTCCCAGAGCAAAGCCAAGCCTGTGACCCAACACTGACATGCTCCAGCCTCAAGGCTGCTGGCCACCAGCTGCTCAGCATCCAGAACAGTAGGAAAGTGATAATGTCCAATGGAGAAGAGATGGAAATAACCACCCCCTGTCACTGAGCAGGGGTGTCACAGGAAGAGGCAGTGGGAAAAGTCTGCAAGCTTTATTTTCTAACTGGGTGGTCCTCTGGGCATCTATGCCATGATGTCTAATAAAAAGAAAAGAAGGGGGAAAAAAAAGACACTGGTAGCTGGAAAGACGTCCTCAAATTCCTCTATCTGTGCCAGTCCCTGCGCCCCAAGAGAGCAAATGCATGGAGAAAATTAAAAGCAACTGTTTTACACTCTGCTCTTCTTCCAATTCAGGCCAAGCAAAATTTTTAGGTTAATTCCCAGCCTGTCCCATGTTGTTGGGAGATTCATCTCACAGACCAAGGGCATGTGTGTGCAGACATAGATTGGCCTGGAACAGTCAACATGGAGAGCAGGGACCCCATGAGGACACCCCTATGACTGGACAGACTGGCTTTCTCTTGGAGACAGGAGAGGGACCCTGGGAACCATCCATCCTCCCAGGGCAGGTTCTGGAAAGCTGAGTTCCATATGAGGCTTGCAGGTGGTTACAGAGGGACCGTGCAGTGCCAGCATGGGCATGTCTCACCAGGAAAGTGGAAATTCCCACAAAAAGGGGAATTTCTCCCTGGATGGGAAAGGAGCAGCATAAGACAAGCTGGCAACAGGTGGGTGGCACAGTCACAAACAGTACCACGTCTGCCAGCAGCCAGATCCTGCCACCACACAGGATCAAGGGATCTGACAGCCCACTACCCACAGCAACAGATTTTCCCAAAGGGAGAACAGCTGCGCTGACTGACCCAGTTTTTCCCATGCTGTGTGGGCACCCCAGAAGGTCAAATACAGACTGGGGGGCAAGAGCACATCACATCCCACCTGCAGCCCTGGGAGGGGACAGTCACGTCTCCAACAGGTGGTGGGACCACATGTAGCTGCCCCAGATCACACCAAGCCCCATCCAGCAGCAGAGCCACGCACAAAAACAACTCGTGAACGCAGCGCTCCCGGGATTAGGGACTTAGCGTCCACACAGCCCTTTGAAGTTGGAAGTGCTAAGTCTGATTATTATTAGAGAGCTCCAGCTCATTAATCCTGATGTTTGGGGCTGGATTTCCCCCCCCCCCAGCCCCATTCCTAAGCCGGTTCCCGAGTACGACGGAAATCCACTACTACCACTAAATATTTGTGACTCTTTGCAAACACACTCTGGGTCTCTGCCCCGAGTGGCTCCAGCGCCCTGCAGCATCCCGGGAAGCAGCGGGGGCAGCTCCTGACACACACGCAGGTATTTTTATCTAATAAAAATCCAAAAGGGACACGAATGCGTAAGTGTGAAGTACCTTCACCTTTCCTGCAAGCCAAGTACAAAGGTCAGATGATTCCAAAAGACTTTTCTAGCCTGACTCAAGGTAATCACCAACACTGTCCCTGCCCATGGGGCGAGCAGGACGTGCTGGGCACTGAGCCCCCATGCTGCAAAGTTGGACCCCCCAAGCCAACCCTAAAATGTTTGAGTGAAAAGGGCAGAAACATTCAGAGCTGTTAAATGAACCGTTATTCCTGGGTGTGCTTCGGAGCGAGCACATCCCCACACCCAGCCAGGCTGCGAAAGGGGGCAGAAAGCGGGAGGGAAGGCGGGCAGGGCGGCGGGGCAGCGCCGGGGTGGCCGCGGTCGGGGGGCTGCGGGGCACGGGGAGCCGCGGGCAGGGCGGGAGGTGCGTGCGTGCATCACACACTACCACAGCCACCATCTTATCTGGGAAGCGGGATTACTTCACCCCAGCTGCAAGGGAGAAGCCGAGCAGCATTGCGCCGTTTTCCCAACCGGAGCCCCCCGCGCAGGGCCGGGATCCGGCCACGGCGCTGACCCCCGACCCCATGGGAACCGGACGCGAGGGCAGCCCCCAGGGCCACCCACCACCCCGCCGGACACAAAGCCAACGAGGGGCTGCCCCAAACACATCCCTGGGTGCCCAGAGAGCTGGGTGGCCCCCGTGGCAGGGCAGGCAGGCACTACGGCGGGCTGCGTGCGCTGCTTTGAGCCCCCCAACCAAAGTAAATAAGCCTTGCACCAGGCGGCAGCGCAATCCCCGGGCAGCGGGAAGGGGCCGGCCGGGAGCGGGGGGCTCATCCCGAGCCCCCTCAGGGATGGCTCCTTTGTCTGGGCACGGCCGCGACGCTCCGCGCCGCCCGCCCCTTTCCCGCACACACCACGGCATTTTTTTCCAGTTACATTTTTTCCATATTAGCCCTCAGATTTCACGATGCCCCCCCTCCCCTCCGCCGCCCCCCCCCCCCCCCACCCAGCGAGCGCAGCAATATGTCTGATCTCATTGCCATAATAGGATCGGGAGCGGGGATGGCAGCCCTGGCCCAGAAAGGTGTGGGAGGAGGGAGGGCGGCCCTGTTCCCCTCACCCCAACACCACGGACGGGCCCCCGCATCCCAAAAACGTCCCCATGTCCCAAACACCCCCCGCCATGGGAGCGCCGGCCTCGGCCTGCGTGAGGCCTGGGGGAAGAGGAGGAAGAGGAGGAAGAGGAGGAAGAGGAGGAAGAGGAGGAAGAGGAGGAAGAGGAGGAAGAGGAGGAAGAGGAGGAAGAGGAGGAAGAGGAGGAAGAGGAGGAAGAGGAGGAAGAGGAGGAAGAGGAGGAAGAGGAGGAAGAGGAGGAAGAGGAGGAAGAGGAGGAAGGCCCAGCCCTGGCAGCCCCCCAGCGCTGAACCCTCTCCGGAAAGGGGCTGGGGTCCCCTTCCCACGTCCCCGGGAGAGCAGGGGGTTGTAGGGCAGGGGGGTCATGACCGGCACGTCCAGGAGGGGACGTTTTGTTTCCAACAGAGTTTTTCCCAGGACTTTCTGGATCGCCTGATGGAGATCACAGGACACCCCCCCCAACCTGCTGCCGGGCACCCCAGGAGGGGATGGGATCACCCCAAGTGCTGGTGTGGGACCCCAAATGGCCTCAGGGGGTGAGGCCACATGGGGTGAGCCATGGCCTCAGGGACCAGCGGGCACTGTGGGACACCTGGGAATCTGTGGGGTCAGCAGGCATCCCATGGGATCCCTGGACACCCTATGGGACCAGAGAGCGCCCAAAGCGCTCCTGGACATCCTGTGGACTTCGCAAATACCTGTGAGTCCCTGAGTACCTGTGAGTCTGTGGGGTCAGCAGGCACCCCAAGGGACCACACGCTACGCCTGGGACCAGCAGGCACCTGCTGGAATCACTGGATACTCCATGGCACCAGAGAGCAACTATGGGGCTCCTGGGCACCCCATGGGATCCACAAATACATGTGGTTCCCAGGGTCCCTGTGCTATCCCTGTGATGGGGTCAGCAGGCACCCCATGGGACTCCTGAACACTTTATGGGACCAGAGTGCACCAGTGGGGCTCCGGAACACCCCACAGAATTCATGGATACCTATGGGTCCCTGGGCTATCTGCAGGATCAGTGAACACCCCATGGATGTTCTTATGGGACCCCTGGTTCTCATGGGACCAGGGAGCACCCTTGGAGTTCCACAACACCCCATGGAATACAGAGATACCTGTAGGTCCCTGTGCTATCCATGGGACCCTAGAGCATCCCTGACCTGATCCCACAGGACGCTACAATATCAGTGTCCAGCAGGCACCCCGTGGGACCTCTGGGGATCCCATGGGATCCTGTGCAAACCATGGGGACAGCAGGCACGCGTGGCACCCCGTTCTATCCGTGGGACCCCAGGACGTCAGTGGGACCCTATACGATCCATCAGGACACCCATGGGACCCTAACCTACCCAGGGGGCTGCCAAGGTACCTGTGGGACCCCAGGCTACCCACGGTGCCAGCGGACACCGCACGGAGACTCAGGGCGCCCTAGAGGCGGGACGCCGGGGCAGATTTTGGGGGGAAAACAGTGGGTTTTGGGGTAAGATCCCACCTGGTTGAGATCCTCGTCGTTGAGCAGGTGGGACTCGCGGGGCTTGAAGCAGTTCTGGCACTTGCTCTTGTTGAAGATGTTGGCCTGGAACTTCCTGCAGGGATTGTCCTTGGCGGCCATGGCGCGGCCCGCGCCCGCTGCGCGCCCGCTCAGCGCCCCGCGGAGCGGCCGCCCGCCGCCGCGCCCATCGCCGCCGCCCCGCGCCCGCGGGGGGCGTCAGGCGAACGCAAAAACCAACACAGAAAAACCCAACGGAGACAGCAGGAAAAAAATCAAAAGAGGGAGCGAAGCGCAGGGCGGCCGCCTCTGCTGCGGCTCAGCGGGCGCGCATGGCCGGGCGGCGGAGCGCGGAGGGGCGGCGCGGTGCGGGGCCGGTGAGGGGCGGCGCGGGGGTCGGCGCGGTGCGGTGCGGGGCCGGACGTGCGGGCGCTGCGGGAGCCGCTCCCGACTGCGCCGCCCGCAAAGTTTCCAGCGCCGCGGAGCCAGGCGGAAAGGAGGGCGGGGCCGCGGCGCTGATGGACGTGCCATCCCGCCAATGGGAACGCGCCTCCGCCCCTAACGAGTGGCCGCGCTGGCCAATGGGAAGCAGGGAAAGGGGCGGGCGCGGCGGGGCCGCCTCGGCCGCGGAGGAGGGGCGGTGCGCTGACAGCTGAGGCGGGCTCGGCCCCCTCGGCTCGGCTCGGCTCGGCTCGGCTCGGCTCGGCTCGGCTCGGCTCGGCTCGGCTCGGCTCGGCTCGGCTCGGCTCGGCTCGGCTCGGCCCGGCCCGGCTTGGTTCGAGTCGGAGCGGCCCAGTTCAGTTTGGCTCAGCTGTGCACAGACTGCTCAGCTCAGCCCAGCACAACTTGGCGTGTCTTGGCTCAGCTCGGCTCCGCTCAGCCCAGCCCAGCTTCCCTCAGTCCGAGTCAGTTCAACCTGACTTGGTTCAGCCTGGCACAGATAAGCTCGGCTCGGCTTAGCCTGGCACGGCTTGTTTGGCTCTGCTCGTCCCAGCTCAGCTCTCTTCAGCCTGTCTCAGCACGGCTCAGCTCAGCTTAGTCTAGTATGGCTCAACTCAGCTCAGCTCAGCTGGGCTTTGCTCAGCTCAGTTTGTCCCAGACCAGCTCAGCTCAGCTCAGTTTGTCCCGGACCAGCTCAGCTCAACTCAGCTCAGCCAGCTGGGCTTTGCTCAGCTCAGTTTGTCCCGGACCAGCTCAGCTCAGCTCAGCTCAGCCAGCTGGGCTTTGCTCAGCTCAGTTTGTCCCGGACCAGCTCAGCTCAGCTCAGCCCCTTGTAGGAGCAGTTGTCTGGTGCCCCACACAGAGCACGCTGAGCTCCCCACACAGCCCACCCCCAGCCGTGGGACACATGGTGACACAGGGTGACAATCCATGACCCTGACCCTGTCCCCAGCCCTGGCACACGAGGGCACACGGGGGTCACCGACCCTCGGACACTCAGATTAGGTGGGGACAATGTCCCTCACGCCCCTGTGGCACCTCGGTGACTGCGGCACTGGGGACAGAGCAGGGATGAAGCAGGGACACATGTCCCACCTCAGCCACGTCGTCCCTGCTGTGCCACCGCCCTGGGGCCAGCCGGGAGCTCCTGTTTGTCCAGTGAATTTTTATCCGGTGGAAACCGGCAGGTAAATATTCCTGACCAGCTGATAAGGACCCGGTGTGAGGCCACAGGTTTGGCCTCCCAGCTCTGCCCCTGGGCTCTGCACAGAAGCACCAGGGAAGGGACCTCAGTGCCTGTGGAGCATCACTGGCTCAGGAGAGAGATGGGAACGCTGACCCCGGGGCAGGGGGACAGAGCAAAGGTGCCAAGTGGCACCTCCAAAATGCACCCAAGACTGGCACATCCTACCACAGTCAAACCTCACCATAGCACAGAGCACCTCCCGTTCATCCCAGTGCTCCCCACCGGTGTAGGATGGGGCCTGCTATGAGGAACACACACATGGATCTTCCTGGATTTTTGGGGCCAGGAAAAACCCGTTGGAGAAGAGGTGATGGCGTGGTCCCCTCACGCCTGGCGCTGTCCTGTCGTTTGATGTGGGGCCCGGCCTGGGCGGCCTCGCCACGCCGGCTCCACGCTGTCATCCCCAGTAAATAAAGCCCAGCACAATTGCCTGCTCATTTATTAATTTTTGCTTCATCAAAGGCAGCTTTAATCATCTGTCTCCCTCCTGCCAGGGCCACGCACAGCACACACTGTGTGCCATGGATTGGGATGGGACAGCAGAGCACCAGTGACCCCAGTGCATCCTCACCCCGGCCCACATGGTAATCCCAGGCTGGCAGTGGCCACCAGACCCCCACATGTCACCATTTTAATGGATTTTCCCACATTTTCCTTGATCCTAATGCTATAAAAGTATCATGACCCTACCCCAGGAAGAGAGGATTTTCCCCTCTGGATTGTACGGACCCTGCTGCCCTCGCTGTGGGTCCAGGGTTCACCTGGCGCATGACTGCGGAAATCCTGCTCCTTGGAGAGGGGAAGATGATTTTCTCAACCAGCCCTGGTCCTTGCCTGATTCCCCTTTCCTCCCTCCCTTCTTCCATCCGCAATGTTGGATTATTCCAACATTGCTTGCGGAGGATCTGGCATCCCACAGTTCCTACAGCACTTCTTTTTCCATCAAAAAGCCCCTCTGCAGCTCCATGGACACCTCCATGTGTTCTCTTGGCCCCCAGCCCTTCTCCACCTCCTCAGGGCATGGACCCCACAGATGGGAGGAAGCTTCCAGGAGGGAAGGGGCTATTCCCTGATTCCATGGGACACCATTCCCCTGGAGAAGGGCACGGTGCTGGCACAGAGCAGTCCCTGCAGGCTGTGCCTGCCCCGTGGGCTCGGGGCCGTGACCTGGCGCCGCGCACGGCTCTGCCGGAGCCGGCAGCACCTCTGGGGAAGCGGCTGCTGCCGGGGCTGGCTCCAGCCTCTCCAAAAATCCAGCTGAACGGGACAGGCTTCTCCACAAACCTGTCGGGCCGCATTCAGCCGTGCGGAGCCGGCCGCCCGTGTGCCACGTTCGGTGCTGCTGGAAGCTCACTGCCCGTGACAACCCCTGCATGCCCCAGATCCTGGCACAGCCCTGGCACTGAGGTCCCACCATGTGCCATGGGGTGGGTGTCCCACCCCATCATCCCATCCCATCCCATCCCATCCCATCCCATCCCATCCCATCCCATCCCATCCCATCCCATCCCATCGCCAACGCTGTGGGACTGCCCGCTTGGGGCTGCCGTGTCTCCTCAACCCACAGACAATTTTTTCCGGAGGAGTTTTCTCAAATGAGGGCAATTAAAACAATGGGAAAATGGAAAGTTTTTGTCAGGGAGCTGCAGTGGCAGAGGGGGAAGGTGCTGTGGTGAGTCAGCCCTCCAAAAAGAAGCCCCAGCGCCAGGTAAACAAGCTGCAGACCAGGAGGTGTTAGTCACCAGCCCGGCCTGTGCGGCCCAGCCTGGGAGGCACCAGCAAAACCCTGCAGGAAAGGGTTCAGCAGCACCAAACCCCACTGGAGAGAGGACAGCAGCACCTGCTCCTGTCATGGCACCATCCATTGCCTCTGCCCGCCAGGATGTCACCGCTTTGGGGACACGGTGTGGCTGTGTCGTGTTTGCCCGGCACATTTCACATTTTTCCGCAGGGTTGGGCAGGAGCAGCACAGCTGGGTGCTCCTCCTGGGTGCCCATCGCTCCCCACAGGACCTTGGGCAAGTCCCTGAATGCCTCTGTGCCGCCAGCTCGCCGTCATTACCGGGGAGCCAGACAGACAGACAGACAGATGGTGCCCAGGGGAGAGGGCAGGATCATGGCTCGGAGCTGGAGAGCCCTGGGATCCACACTGGGTCCAGGCTTGGACTGAGCAGCGCCTGAGAGGGCTCCCCCCTCCTGCCCTGCTCCACGTGGAGTCCCAGTGTGGGATGCTGGACTCAGCCCCTGGCTCTGCAGGGATCCAGAGCCTTCCACAGCCCTGCCTGGGAACATCTGGCAGGGAAAATGCTGACCAAAGGAGGCTTGGATGCCCCTCATGCTGCTGTGTGTCTTAAAGGGGTGAGACACACAAGGGGGGAAATCCATATGGTGTGAAAAACACCTTCCTGGATGGAGAGAAAGGCCCCTGGGCTGCTCTGTGCCCGGTTGTCACAGAATTAGAAAATTGTTTAAGTTGCAAGAGACTTTAAAGACCATCTCGTTCCACCCCCTGCCACGGACAGGGACACCTTCCACTAGACCAGTTTGCTCCAAGCCCCATTCAATCCCATCTTTCTCACTGGGAAAAATAAAAGGACCCAAATTATCCACTGGAAGACAGCCACAGCACTCAGCTGCAACTGATGCAGTCCAGAGGGGAGGATGCATCTTCCATGGGGCTGGAAAAGCCCATGAGGATGGTCCAGAGCAAGTTGCACATTCATGCAGAAGCTTGAGCTTGTCCCAGAAGCCACAATAAATCCTGTCCCACCAAGCAGAACTTTCCTCTTGTCCAGAGATGCCAAATGTCTGCGAGTTCATACCCTACTCCTCAAATTGATTAATTACACTCACAGTTGGGTTACTGGTGGCTGCTGCTGCCATCAGACCTTGCTGTGCTTCAGCAGGAAAATCCTTATCTTTTGCTCCCACCTGTTTTTCCCCACCTTTTGGCTGCTGGGCAGGGAAGAGGGGATCCCCCTGTGAGGCTGCCTGCCCTGCCAACCCCCTCTTTCCTCAGCATCCCTGCTAAAAACATCACCCTGTGCAAAATGCAGTGCTCTCAGCCTCTTCTGTCACTCGCCCCCTTGGCCACCGCCCCGGAGCTGCCAGCGCAGCCGTCGGATGTCTGCTCTGCTGACTCCATATAATGCAAGTTCTACAAATGAAAATGTCACATGGCCCTAAATTAAATACTTTGGAGAAACCCATTATAAAGCAGCAGCACAATTAGCTTTATCAGCCAGCCCAGAGTCATGCCAAAAACCAAAGCCGACTCACTTGACAGGAGCTGCCATCCATGAAACCAAGCTAACGACCTTAATTATATTTTTAGCTTCTAATTTTTGGCTGACAGTATCCTCAATTACCCAGCCCTTAATTTGTGCAGGGACGGTGATCAGCCTCACCTGGCCTGTAATTCCCAGGATCAGCCCTTTCATCCCTTTTAAATATTAAATTGACTCCCACTGGCCACCCTCCAGTCCTCTGGAATTTCCCCAGGGTTTTAGTGTTAAAAATTAACAGCAGAGTTCCTGGGCAGGCTGCAAACCCCTTCCCGTGAGGGTTCTGCCAGGAAAACACCTCTCCAGAGATAATTCAGCAGTGAGGACAAGAAGTTGTTCCCACCAGGTCAAAACTCCACGTAATCAGATCAGCTCTTCTGTCCAAAGATTGTTCTTTGACTCATCTCCCTTATCCACCACCCACGCTTTACACCTCAGCACACAACCCTGGCACTGAACCCTCCTTTTCCTGCTCCTTCCCTATGCATTTTTAGGGCTTTTCCCTCATTTCCGTGCCAGACCTCAGCCAACCCAGGTTTTTTCCCACCTGGCCATCCTTGGTCTCCAGCTGAGTTTGGGGAGCCAGCCTCGAGCACGGCCTGGGTTTTGGCAAAATGCTTCCCTTGTCCTGATCCGTGCTGGGTTTTGGCAAGGAGGCTGTTGCAGCACCACCCTGCTGATGCACAGGGGCAGCTCTGGAGCCTGGGTCACCCAGGGCTCACCCACAGCCCCGGCACAACCTCTGCGAGGGTCAGACCCCAGCCCCGGTGGGGCTGAGCATCCTTGGGATGATGCCCCACTGCAGCCCCAGGGCTGGTGCCAGGACGAGGGGCACAGGGAGGAATGGAGCATGTGGGGTGCGAGGGGGGCCCTGAACCCCCTGGCTCTGGGGGTGCTGCAAACAGAGGTGCCAGGGAGGGGCAGGAGCCAGCCTGGGGGGCTGCATCCCACATGGAAGTGTCCAAGGCCAGGTTGGATGAAGCTTGGAGCAATCTGGGATGGTGAAAGGTGTCCCTGTCCCCTGTCAGGGGAAGTGGATGAGCTTTAAGGTCCTTTCAACCCAAACAATTCCATAAATTGATTCCCCCTGGTGCAGCCAGGGCTGGAGCGGCCGCGTTGGAGGATTCCGGGCTGGGCTGGCCAAGGGTGCCATCTCCTGGGGACAGACCCATAGAGCAGATCCTGGGGACAGACACACAGAACAGACCCTGGGGATGGACACACAGAACAGATCCTGGGGATGGACACACAGAACAGACCCTGGGGACAGACACAGAGCAGATCCTGGGGACAGACCCACAGAACGGATCCTGGGGACAGACACAGAACAGACCCTGGGGACAGACACAGAATGGATCCTGGGGACAGACCCATAGAGCAGATCCTGGGGACAGACACAGAACAGACCCTGGGGACAGACACACAGAACAGACCCTGGGGACAGACACACAGAATGGATCCTGGGGACAGACACACAGAATGGATCCTGGGGACAGACACAGAACAGACCCTGGGGATGGACACACAGAACAGACCCTGGGGACAGACCCTGGGGACAGACACACAGAATGGATCCTGGGGACAGACACACAGAACAGATCCCGGGGACAGGCAGGTCCTGGCCCCAGCGGCCCCGCAGGGAATTGGGGTGACAGAAATGAGCCCTCGGAGCCATCTGTGCTCAGCCTGGCCCCACAGTTGGCAGTTTCGACCGAAAAAGGCTCCTCTTCCCCTTCTTCCCCCACAGCCTCTTCTTTTCAGGTCCTAAAGGGAGCACGTGTGTGAGCAAACATCCTGGCCAAGGCTCGGAGCTGCTAAAAGCAGAGGGGCTGAGGGGAGGAAATCATCCCAGCAAAGCTGCTCAAGGGGAAGGCAAAGCACCCCCTAAAAGCTTCAGAGCCAAACATTATCCACCCTGTCTTCCTGTTACCTGCAGCTCTCCTTGCAGCACTGCCACTAGGGCAAGAGCCCTGCAGAAAAACAGATTTTGTTGTCAGGAAAATCCTGGGCTCTGTCACCCCAAAGAGAGTGTGGCACCTCCAGAGTCAGGTGCAGATGGGCATTGCAGGATGCAAAACCACATGGGGGGATGCAAAGCCATGCAGAGGGATGCAGAGGGATGCATGGCACTGGGAGGATGCACAGGGAGCTGCTGGTTGATGCTCTGGGGAACCAGTGAACTCAGCAAAGGAAAGGTTTAATCCAGAAATCCGGAACAGGAGGCTGGTGGTGGCTGCCCAAACCACAGCAACAGCCCCGGGCATGGCAGGGTGGCAGCCACTGCCTTGGCTGTGAGCCAGCAGCTCATGGGGCACCACGTCTGGAGGTGTTGGAGAGCCAGAGTGCCCTCAGAGGCTGTAGAGGGGGGTGATGGTGTCTGGGGCACAGGGACACGGCCAAGGAAATGGGGCTCCAGTCCAGACAGCCCCAGAATTCTACAGCTGAAACCACACTGCCTGATCCCTGCTCAGCGAGGAGGGACAAACCACCCCCAAGTGCTTCTCACTTCCCTCTTGAGGGCTCACCAGGGTGGAAACTGCAAGTCTCTGGTGCTATTTACAGAGGTGAGTTTCCCCTGCAAAACCCCGAGAGCAGCAGGCTGGGGCCACCTCTCCAGGGCCATGTCCCTGCTCTGCCACACTCAGCCAGCTCAGGCAATGCCAAAATCATGATTTCCCTCCCAGGGGGAGGCTCAGCACAGCAATGATCTCATCCTTCATACCAGACATGTGGCAGTGTTGCAGTGTTGCAGTGTGGCAGTGTTGCAGTGTGGCAGTGTTGCAGTGTCCCTGGTCCTCTCCTGGTCCTTGCTCCAAGCCCTGTGGTGCACTGGATGCTGCTTTTCCCCCTCCTTCAGGAGCTGGGATGTGATGGGCCACAAGGTGCAAAGCTCCTCTGCCTTGGGCTCTGCTCCCCATGAACAGGATCAGCCTCCAATGCCTCTGCAATGGACACAGCAGCAAAACATCCTCTGGCCTCTCCAGCTGCAGGTGGCAGGCACAAACCGGGAGTTTTTGAACCAAACAGAAGAACCCTTGATGCTGCTCCACGAATGTTTTTAGTCACAGGTATTGCTGCTTCCTTCCTCCTTCAGCTGCTTCTGCAGAAAGGTCCCTCTGGCCTGAGCTGAGTCACAATTCTGCCACGCTCCTCCTGCCCCTTCCTGGCACCGCTGCCAAAGCCATGCCCAGCATCCCTGCAGGAGCAGGGACAAACCTCTGGAGGCTGCCAGCAGTGCAGAGGGGGCTCTTTGCCTCTGTGAAAACAAGCTGTGCTATTAATGAGTTATTCATGTGCTGTTAATGAGTTATTAATGTGCTATTTATGAGCTATTAATGCTTTGTGCCCCCAGCCCAGCCAGGACTCAGCTGCCCATGCAGGACATAGCACAGCCCTCCTGCCTCCCAGACGTGGATGCACCTGAGAAAATCAGTGTTTGAGGCACCTCACGGGGCTCCAGAGATGTTCTGTGAGTTCTGAGCAGGAGACAGGACAGTGGCTTGTGCTGAGCATCCCGAGGACATGGAGAGGGTGGATGCTCCCAGCAGTGCTTGGTCCTGGCATTGCCTCTTGCACAGAGTGAAACTCCTTCCCCTGAAGGAAACATCCCACTGGCACAGGCTGCAGTGGTGGAACCACCACCCCTGGAAGGAGGGATTTAAAAGCTGTTTAAGTGTGGCACTTGTGGCTCATAGTGAATGTGGGGCATGGTTGGGCTCGATGACCTCAGAGGGCTTTCCCAGCCTTTCTGGTTCTGGGATTCTGCTGCAGTCCATGATGCAAGAGCAGGTGCTGCAGAGCTCCCACTCCACCAAGGCCCTCTGAAGTGTGGCCACCTGGCCCAGGACACCTGGCCCTGGTCCAGTGTCCCCCACCCTGTCCCCAGCAGCCCAGGACCCCAGGAGCCAATGCAAGGCACTGAGTGTGCAGCCAATTTGCATGGAAGGGACAAGGGGAAGCCCCAGGAAATGCACAGCCAGGCATTAACCAAATCTCTCTAATAATAACCCCTGAGCCATGCAGGGGCTCGGGGCTGCAGCTCGTGGGGCCATGGCTGGAGCTGAGGGGGAGTAGCCACTGCTGGAGAGCCAGACGTGAGTGACCCATGGAGGGGCTGTGGGGGACAGCGTGGGGGGCTTGGGGGCCAGGGCTGGGGGCTGGGCAGGCTCCCAGTGCCAGCAGGGAGTGGAGGGTCTGCTCAGAGTTCCCATCCTGCTGAAGTGGTCAGTGCTGTGGGGCTGCAGAGGAAACCACAGAATGGTTTGAGCTGGTAGGGAGCCGAATTCTCATCCAATTCCAGCCCCATGCCATGGGCAGGGACACCTTCCCCTGTCCCAGGTGGCTCCAAGCCCTGTCCAACCTGGCCTAGAACACTTCCAGGGATGGAGCAGCCACAGCTTCTCTGGGCAGCCTGTGCCAGGCCTCTCCACCTTCACAGGAAAGAATTTTTTCTTAATAACTAATCTAAATTTACCCTCCTTCAGCCTAAAGCCATTTCCCCTTGTCCTGTGGTTGCTTAAAGCTTGGCATGAGGGGTCTGTGGGGGAATTCAGAGGGGTTGGGTGGTTGAGAGGAAGAGGGAAAGACTCACCTGGCTCTGCTGGAAAATCATGGCTGAGAAGTCTGTGCTGGGAGCACCACATGTACCCTGGGACTCCCCAGGGAGGGGGAGGTCTGTCCTAGATGAGGCCAAACATCTCCTCGGCCGTGTCCTCGCAGCACTGGGAGGGAGGTTCCCAGCCTGCAGCCCCTCAGCTTTAACACAGCCCCAGGTCTGCCTCCCACCAATTATCCCATGGGAAACCCCACCTGGGTCAGGATGGCTCAGCTCCCTGCCATCCCAGGGCTCACAGTAACCCCCAGAGGGGTTTCTGCCACCCATGGGGGGCTTCTCTGGGTACAAAGCCCAGTTTCTTCCAAGAGTGCCTGAGGAGAGAAATGGCCTGAGCCTTGCTCTGCCCTGGGGATGTCTCCAGTCAGCTCGACAGAAAGTCATTATTTAATTTTATAGCAGTGTTAATTGAACAACTGGGAGTGTCAGGCCAGCATCCCAGTGCAGAGAGGATTTTTCCTTGGCAGTGGGAGGGTTTCCCACGTGCTGGCCCAGGTAGGACCCAGCCCATCCTGCAGGGAAGCTGCTGGCTGGGCAGGGGCAGGACAGACGTGCAAAGTGCCCAACCTCTGAGTCCTGGAGAGAGAGGAGAAATCCTGGCAGGGCACAGGAGATTTTCTGTACAAAAATCAAAGGTTTGGCTCTGCCAAAGCAGCAGCTCAGCCTTTGGGCATGCAGAGGCTGACTCTGCAGCTTGGGGAGGTTTTAAACCTTTGGGCCCCATCAGCACCAGCATCTCCCACCCTGCAGGAAAGAGCTGCAGCTCCAGGCTCGGCTCTGGGGGGGATGAGGCTCCCGGGAGCCTTCTCAGGCAGCAAAGGGGACATTGCCACCAGGGCCACCCTCCTGCTGGGTCAGAGCTTCTGCAGCTGCTCCTCTGCAGACCCCACGAGTGGCACAACACAGGAGCTGTTACCAGCCAGCGAATTCTTCCAAGTGAGGTTTGGATGATTTTTAGGCTGCTGAGAACTGCTCCCGTGCCTCTGGCATCACACCCAGTGCACAAGGGCACTGGGAGCACTGGGGCAGCAGAGGATGGGAAAGCAGCCCGTGGTAGGGACAGGAGCACATCCACCTCTAGCTGGTACTGGTTAAACTGGTGCCTAAAGTCTCCTGGGGAGATTTCCCTCCTTCTTCTGATCTGACATGTCTTACACATCAGCCTGGTTTCACTATGACACCGAACAGCCAAGAGAAAGGGCAGGAATGACACACAAGGTCGTGGTTCTGGCACTTTCAGAGAAGCCTGCAAGGACAGGAATAGTCCCCAGTGCTTTTCTCCCACTGGCAGGTGCAGGGACCCCCAGACCCTTGGGGCAGAGCTTGGGGGCACCTCTAGGCCAGGCTGGGCTCTCTGTGTGTCCCCTGGGACTGGCACAGGGCACACAAACAGCTTGGAAAGCAGATTTGGCTGCTCAAGCCTGGGACCAGAGAGGGCAGAGGGACAGCCAGGACCTCCCTGCCAGGGGTCCCAGCCCTAGAAAGGGACGAGGTGGCTGCAGAGCAGCCCCATGGTGACCACCCCATACCTACCTGTGTGTCTGTCCTGCAGCCATGGATGGGCCAGGAGTGGGGCAGGATGCCATGAAGAACTGCACAGACCAGGAGTACTGGGACACCCTCGTTTCCCTGTGCATCCCCTGCAGCCTTGCCTGCGGGCAGTCCCTGGCCAGGAAGTGTGATGCTGTGTGTGGTGAGTGCTGGGTGCCCTGCCTGGGAGTCAGGGATGGGCCAAGTGGGAGGGAGGATCAGAGCTGGGATGGTTTGAGCTGGGAGGCAGCTGAATTCTCATCCAGTTCCAGTTCCATGGGTAGGGACACATTCCACTATCCCAGGTTGCTCCAAGCCCGTCCAGTCTGGCCTTGGACACTGCCAGGGCAGGCTGGGAGGCAGCTCAGCTTTGCAGAGCTTCAAGCCAAAACCACAGGGGGATGTGACAGCTCCCCATGGACGGGCTGGGGCTGCAACAGCTCAGGACCAGGTGCCTGCACCTCTGCACTGCTCCTTCCTAGGATCACAAGGCTGCACCAGCACTCCTGCTCCCTACTGGGGCCACCCCACCCTCCAAAGGCAGGGGTGTGGGTAATGAAAATCCCCCAGTCTGAGACAGGCCCTGAGGTGTCCTGAAAACAGCTGGGGAGGAGGACAAGGGACAAATGAGCTTTGCACCCCAGCCCTGTGCCAGCGCCCTTCCACGAGTCACGGGCTGAGGCGGCTTCACCCATCCCAGGGCTGATTCAGCAGCCACAAGTGAACATCTCTGTAGTTTCCCCCCCTCACGCAGCCCCCGAATAATCCGACTAGCTCAGAGATAAGGGGCTGTGAGGGGAGGAATACCAGGAGAGGGAGAGATATTTAAAAGAGGCTCTCACCCCAGGGTGTTGGTTGGTGCAGCTCTCTTTATTCTGTGATGTCCATGTGGAGAGCAGGGCAAAAAAGAACAGGAAATGTCAGGGGGTCTATATAGGTTTTGGACAGGGTGGGCTTTCCTGCTCTCTGCCAACCCCATTGGGGCAGGAAGGAGGGTCCAGGGGTTATCTTGATCAGAGTCACAGGGTCCCGGGGAAGGGGGCACAGGGTGCCCATGAGCTCACTGTAACACATCTCCTCCCCGAGGACAGGAGATGCCGTTCCTGGCATCCCGAGGCAGGTTTGGTGTGTCCCACAAGCTGTGCCAGCCCCAGGGCAGCAGCAGCCAGGAGCTGCCTCTGCCTGCCTGGGACCATCCCCTCCGCCTTTCCCCACCTCTCCGGCCAAACCCCACCCAAATCCCGGCTCTGCCACCACGGCAGCCCTGCCAGTGCTTGGGCAGCGGTGCCACCCTGTGCCTGGCACAGCAGCGGGCTGGGCTCCTCCTCCCGGGAATTGGGGTGGGGGGATGTGCTGAGGACACCGTGGTCACCTCCCTATCCTCCCCCAGAGTCCATGGACTGCAACAGGAGACCTGGATTTTACTACGATGACCTCGTGAAGAACTGCATCAAGTGCAGCTCGGTGTGCGGGCAGCACCCCCGGGAATGTGCCCTGTCCTGCGAGCGTGAGTCGGGCAGCAGAAATCCCCTCCTTGTCCCAGGGAGCTGCACCCTTGGGTGCTGCCATCACCGGGGCTGGGGAAAAGCAGCCAGGGCATCTCCTTCCCATTTCCTCCATCCCACAGCGGCTTTTCCCTGCCGGGTGCTGCTGGTTTTAGGTTGGGCAGCTCCCCCAGGCAGGGTGGGGCTGGCAGCTGTGGGTCCCACCCGGCTGAGCTGCCCCAGCCCTCGGGGAGGGACAGCAGGAGGGGACAGGGAGACCCCCCAGTCCTACACGGGGGTTGAGACCATCCCTGAAGATGGGGAAGGGTGGGAAGGGATCTGCTCCTCTCACTGCCCGGAGAGATGCCAGTGGGCAGAGGGGACACAGAGCTGCTCCCAAATTGTTCCTGGCGGTGGGCACAGGCTCTGCCAGCTCTCTCCATCCCGGGGAACCATCCCAAATTGTTCCTGGCGGTGGGCACAGGAGCTGCCAGCTCTCTCCCTCCCGGGGAGCCACCCCAAATTGTTCCCGGGGTGCCACCCCAGAGGGGTCTGAGCTGCCCCATCTCTCCTGCCCCACAGCCACGCCCGCGGGGCCGGTGATGGGGCTGCAGCAGAAGACGTGCGTGGAGCAGGACCCGTGGCTGGTGCTGTACCTGCTGCTGGGGCTCTGCCTCTGCTCCCTCCTCTGCTCCCTGCTCCTGGGCTGGACTCACCTGCGCAGGAAGGGAGAGGCTGTCTCCTGCCAGCCCAGCGCTGGGACCTGCCACTGCAGGGAGGACCCTGCCAAAGGTGGGTGCTGGCAGCACTGGGAGAGGGTGGGGAGCTCGTGGGGGCAAGCTTGGGCTGCCAGGAAAAAAAAGCAGAGCCATTTCTCAAAAAGGAAAGGAGAAAAGGCAAAATAACAAATGTGAGCCTGGAAGAGGAGCAGGAGTGGACCCCTGTGCCCGATTCTGCACCCCAACCCCTCAGTCACTCCCTCCCCTGGCACAGCTCTGTTGGAGCTGTTCCATGGGCAGCACCTCTCCACTCTCCATCAGAGGCTGAGGGGACAAAAGCCAACCCTTTTCCAAAACAAACAGCTGTCCCCCAAAACCCAGTTCTGGTTCTGCAGCCAGAGGGGCTTCACGAGTCCTTGTGTTAGGGAGAAAAGGAGAAAGGATAACGTGGAACAATTCAACATGGAAAAGGTGGTTTTGTTCTTCCTCCTTTTCTTCTCTCCTGCCTTTCCAAAGAAAAATTGCCTACTTACCTATTTCTGCACACACATCCATGTCTGCATACATCCACCTCAAAGCCATCAGTGTCAAAAATCACAGAGGAAGACCCCATGAGCCAATGTGACACATGTCACTCCAAGGACTGTCCCTCAAGCCATTCTTGTCTGCTTTGCTGAAGGACAGAGGGATCAAAGGGTCATTTTTAAGATGAACCATCAAGTTTGGAGAGATTTTCTGGGTGTTCTGGTTGATGCAGTGAGTCCATGCTGGGAGCTGGGTGTCCTCTCCAGTCCCAGGACCAGCTTTTCACAGGTTCTAGTGCAGCACTTCAGAGCATTCCCAGGTGGAAGCTGCTCCCGGGCCCCCTCAGCTGACACCGAGTTTATTTGCAGATGGGCTGGTGGAAGCTGGCAGCGTTGGGGATGGATTCACCAGCATCAGAATCCCAGAGCCAGTGGAAACCTGTGGCTTCTGCTTCCCTGGCCATGGCTCTGCTGTACAAGAGACCAAATCCTGCCACAGCAGCTCCTGCTGCCCTGGGGAAAGGGCTGCTCCCTCCTTCTCTGGGATCTGCAGCACGGGAAGTGCCGGGGCCGTTCCCAGCCCCGACGACGGCCACTTCAAAATCATCTGCTCTCCTGCCCAGGAGAAGACACCCATGGTGTGAGCAGAGGGTGTTCCAGCACGGAGGGATGCTCTCTCTGCCCCAAAACCAAAGCTGCTTCACCCTCTGCTGCCAGTGACTGAACAGCCTCTACCCAGCCTGGGCTGTGCCAAGGGCTGCAGGACACAGACAGGGCTGGAGGTGCCACAGAGCTGTTTGCTTCCACTCAGGAAACCAAATTCCCATTATTCTTGTGCTCTCCCAGTGAAAGAAGTCACTTCCCACGTAGCAGCATCTGACTTCATCCTCCAGCTTGACCTGGGTGCATCCTGGCCGTTGGGGACAGCTCATGGGGGGTTTTCATCCTGGTTCCACCACCAGCATCCCTGCAAAGGGTCAGGTGGTGCCCACTGCTCCCCATGGAGAGCTCACCTCTTCCTGCTGGAGATTCCTTCATGAATCAGAACGATTTTCAGCACAGCTGTCTCAAATGTGGCATTGGATCCAAGGATTTACTGGTGAGATTGATAAGGAGCCTTTGCCTCACGACCAGGACACGATGCTGCACACGAGGAGCTGGGACAGGCACCAAAGCTGTCAGTGAAACTGGGTTTAAATATGAAAATTCATCCAAGGCTCAGATCTTTCTACAAAACTGGATTTATGTATATCTGACCTGGGTTATTCTGAAGAGCTGGTAAAAGTGAGGAATCAGCTGGAGATAAAGCTGCTTTGAGAGAATACTTTTATCAAACCTGGCTTTGAAAGCTATCCTGGAAAAATAGGAGTTTCAATGTGTAATTTGAAGTTCTCATTTCCACTAAAGGAGACTGTAGGATTTTTTCCCCCCAAGGAATCACTCCTGGTAGAAGCCCATCCCCTCCACTGTCTTAAACTAGAGCTTTAAACTTGAAAGAATAAATGTAATTTGATATATGCACAAATTGGTGTTGGGAAAGCAGACAGCCGGAAAAAACATGAGCAGAGTTGTAACAGATTCTACCCCTTCTATATTACACGTTCCTTTGAATGTAAATACTTTTTATCATTAAAAAAGGCATCACCTGGGAGGTTGAGCCTTTCACTCTGGTCACCTCCTACTCTCTCAGCATCCCCAGTCCGTGGGCATCCCAACCTCCAGACCTTCTCTGTGTCCCAGCACAACTGGAGACCCTCTTGGCCTCTCCTCCCACATCAGCACCTTCCCCTCCACCTCCACAGCAGCATCTTCCACAGCCTCAGCTCCTGTGGAATCTGCTCCAGGCCTCTGCTCTCCTGCCCTCAGCTCCTGTGGTTTCCTGCCCCACAGTCCCAAACACTCTCCAACACCACGGCCCCAAATCCTGTGCCATCAGTAGCTCCTCCAGAGCTCCAAAAGTCTTTCAGCCCCAGAAATCACCTTGGCCTCCACCCCTGCTCAGCCTCAGCCCGGCATGGATCCAGCTCTCCCTCAGCTTCTCCAGGCTCTCAGTTCCTGCCCAGTCCCTCTGCTGCCCTCCCACCATCTCTGGCTCTGCTGCTCATCTCCTACATCCTTCAGCCTCCCTTTGCATTCCTGCTCTGTTCCTGCTCTCCTCTCCTCAGGTTCCTGTTCCTCCAAAGCCTCTTGGCTTCTCCTCACCCCTCACTCCTTCCTGCAGCCCCACGTCCCCCACCCTCACTGGGGCCCTGATCCCCCCTCAGCCCCACATCTCCTCCTGCTCTGGGTTGCCCTTCCCAGACTCTGCAGGATGGTTTGGGTTGGAAGGAATCCTAAAGATTATCACATTCCATTCCCTGCCATGGCAGGGACACCTTCCACCAGCCCAGGTTGCTCCAAGTTCTGTCCAGCCTGGCCTTGGACACTTCCAGGGATCCAGGGGCACCCACGGCTTCCCTGGGCGCCCTGTGCCAGGGCCTCACCACCCTCACAGGGAATATCCCAATATCCCATCCAACCCTGCCCCCTGGCACTGGGGAGCCATTCCCTGTGTCCTGTCCCTCCATCCCTTGTCCCCAGTCCCTCTCCACCTCTCCTGGAGCCCCTTTTGGTCCTGAGCTCTCCCTGGAGCCTCCTCTTGTCCCAGCCTGGCTCCATGGCTGCTCCAGCCCTTGGAGCAGCCCTCAGGACTCACCCCACAGTTCCCCTCCTGTTTGTCAGGGGCTCCAGAGCTGCAATCACTGCTCCAGGTGAAGGCTTTGCACTGACCTTGGGGCACATCCTCCCCTGGCACCAGGGCTGGCAATGCCCCAGCTCTGTGCCCTCCCTGCCCAAGCACTTCCCAGCAAGGACAGGGAATTCAGGAGGAGGAAAACCCTCAGCAGCAGCCAGTGCCTCACCAGGCTGCCCCTTGCCAGCAGGGAGCTCCTGGGGACACGTGGATCCAGTCCAGCTCTGGTGACCTACAGACCTTCAAGTGTCACCTCCAGGAGCCCCTGGCCATGGTATTTATAGAGAGATTCAGAACCTTATTTAAAAACAGGACAGAATTAAGCGAACACGTGCCACCAGTGTTGCAATTAGGGCATCCCTGGAGGATCAAGAGGCATCAATTATTCAAATGAGAAGGATTTTAGGGCCATGCCTGTGCTAGTGAGAGCAGGAGCTCACCCTGTGTGGCACCAGGAACTCCTGCCCCAGCTGGCTCAGGAGGTCACTCACCTCACACCCAGGCAAAGCCAGGGCTGGGACAGGGCTGCTCCTCCTGGCACCATGTCTGTCCAAAAATTGGGGAAAACACTCATCAGAGGCCAAGTCCTGCCCAGACACAAGAGAGGAGCATCCCTCACCCTCCCCTCCTTGTGGGAATTAACTACAAGAGAAAAAGTAACAGAGAGCAACTCGAACAAATTAGCAGGAAAATAACAAACCCCCTTAGCTGGAGAACCGAGAGGAACCAATGGATTTTGGGATTTTACAGCCCCCTGCCAGCAGCTCTGAAGGATCATACCTGGAGGCATCAGTTCCAATGCTGGAGGGACCCTGTGTAGGGGACAGCAGCGATTCCATATGGGACGAGTCAAACCACATGGAATGAAGGGTTTGAATGGAGTTAAGGGCACTGATTCTGAGCAGGATCCCCTGCCCAGGCTTTAACCAATTCTCACATTTCTGCTTTTTCCATCAGGCATCACATCAGGCAAATCTTTATCGCCACTGGAGTGGCTGAGGGACATGAAAATGTAGCTAAAAGCACTTTCTGGCTATTTTTGTGTCCCCTGTAGAGCTGAGTTCACTGCTGGCAGGTAACAGAGCACACACCCCACCGTGAGCCAGTCTTTGTTTCCAGTTATTCCTGCAAATGCCTCCTCCCAACAGATCCAGCTGTGCCGACGGAAAATGTACCAAAAAATAAACAAGCCCAAAGTGCTCCCCTGGATGAGGAGCTGTCACTGCTGGCTGTCACCACATCAGGGAGGCTTCGCTTCACCCTCCCTTGGGCTGCTCCGTGGCCGGCGTTTTCCTGCAGGAGATGTTGAGGGAGTTCCACGGAGAAACTCCCGGTTCTGCCGGGAATAATTGAGGCCATGAGCTGCCCGGCTGCTGCTGGAGGGAGGGATGGAGGGGGAGAGGAGGCTGTGTTTGAGACGAAGCAGCTGCACTTCCATTTTTATAGGAAAAGGGAAAATGCTCTCCCCTCCTCTCGGAAGCGGCGTGGATTTACTGCTGCTGGAAATAGAACCTGGTGTGATTCGGGCAGGGACACGGGGGGTGGGCTGGTAGGCGGGAGAGGGGGGGAAGAAAAGAATAATAAACCTTTTAATACCCTAAGAATTCTGCTTTTGAAACCAGAAAGAGCCTTGAAAGCTCCCCCCGAGAACCATCTGCGCCGGTGCAGCCGCACAGAGCAGAACCCTCTCCAGCAGATGGGCGGGGAGGGGAAATTAAGGGTGATTTATACGGCTGCCTCGTCCCTAAACAATTTGCTCCCGAGGGCTTCACAAAGCCGGCTGCAGCAGCTCCGCCGGCTGAGCGTGTGCTGTGGAAAACAGAATTCATGGAAAGGGCAGCCAAAGGCTCAGAGCTCGGCGGCACAAAGCGAAGGCAGCGCCGGAGTCATCCTCACCCTCGGCGGGCGCTGCCGCGGGGTGGCAGCGCTCGTACAGCCGGAGCGGCGATGCAGCAGCGCCGGGGATGGAGAGGGGCTGGCGGCTGCTGCCTCCGCAAGGATGCTGCATTATTAAAGAGCAGCAGAAAGCCTGGCACGGCATCCGCACCATGCCCGGCTCGCTCGGGGGAAGGAGGGGCCGCTCTCCTGCGGGAGCGCCCGGCACATCTCACATTCCCATCATCTCCCATCTCCCATCATCTCCCATCTCCCATCTCTCATCTCCCATCTCTCCATCTCCCATCTCCCATCTCTCCATCTCCCATCTCCCCATCTCCCATCTCTCCATCTCCCATCTCCCATCTCCCCATCTCTCCTCTCCCATCTCTCATCTCCCATCTCTCCATCTCCCATCTCCCATCTCCCTCCTGCAGCTCCCCAGCCGCGCTCCAGCGCAGGAATGCTCGGCTTAAAATTTCCAGCCCGAATGGAAATTAAATTGTCACCCAGGCAGGGAACGCGATGGCCTCGGCAGCACCCGGGCAGCCCCACGCATGGAGTTAAGGGCACTGATTCTGAGCAGGATCCTCCGCCCAGGGTTTTACCAATTCTCACATTTCTGCTTTTTTCCATCAGTCACCAGCATCAGGCAAAGCTTTATCTCTGCTCGAGTGGCTGAGGGACATGAAAATGTAGCTAAAAGCACTTTCTGGCTTTCCCACGCCACACCCAACCTCCTGGGTCTGGCTCGAGCTGCTTCCACTTGTCCTTCCCTCCTCCGTGCCATGTCACGGATGTACAAAACCTCCTCGTACTGTTCCAGTCTGTGTGCAAATCAAAAGAATTCCACCTGTTCAGCTGCTCTTGTGAGATGGTAATTTAAAACCCAAACACACTGGATTCCCTTATTTTCCTGTTTTTCTGTTATCAGACTGTGTTAGATACCCGCTCCTCGTTCCTGGAGCACAGAACTGAAGGTTTAGATCCCCCCCGGCCTTTCCACACCGGCAAAGCTGAGCAATGGCTGCCTGGGGATTTGTGCCGAGCTTAAAGATCAGAGGAGCTGCGGCTTCCCTGGATCCCTGGAAGTGTCCAAGGCCAGGCTGGATGGGGCTTGGAGCCACCTGGGATAGGGGAAGGTGTCCCTGCCCACGGCAGGGGCTGGAACAAGATGATCCTGAAAGTCCAACCCAAACCATTCTGTGACTTTCGGTGTGACACCAATTTACACAGTGCCCAAATGACACTTCACCCTCTCCACACGGGAGAACAAAGCTGGTTCTGCTCTTCCAGCTCTGCTCTGAAGGCTTCCTCTCCCCAGGCTGCAATTCCACCCCCAAGCCCAAGCTCCTGAGAGCAAGATCCAGCAGGAGCAGCTCCTGCTGGAACCTGGATGGAAGGGGAGGAAAGGCCCCAGAGCTGCGAGCTGAGAGCACCGACACACAGTCTGTGCCACTGCAAGAGGAGAAGAGCACGGGAAGAGTTAATCCATGTGGGAGGATACAAGGAACCAATACCAGCCTAGCACATACCAGGAAAATGTGTTGTTTACTTAGAGCACTGCAGAAGGGCTCAATAGCAGCAGATCCATCGCTCAAAGCTGCCCCGGCAGCGACCATTCCCAACAGATGGTACATTTTTCACCACTGAGGTTCTCTCAAGTGTCAGATATATATAAATCCACCTTTGGAAAGCAGCAGGGAAAAAAAAAAAAACAAACCAAAACCAGCAACAACAAAATAAGCGCTTTTGAGAAATTCAAACTTATTCACAAGATTAAAAAAAAAAAACAACAAAACAAAACCAAAAAGAACCAAGACCACTCTTACAGTATAAACACACCAATTCATTCATTTTTACTGATGGTTGCATTTATGAATTTCATTCTCGTGAAAAAAGGGAATAAAAGGAAAAAAATTAAGAAAATAGCTATTTATAGAAAACAAAACAAAAAAGGGCTCAAACAACAGAATCTGTGCTGATGCTTTTGGATGAGCAGTCCGATGGCATTGAACATTACCTGTGTGAGCAGGCATGCTT